ATTAGTGGGTGAAATCATTGTTGTGCAATTGCTGTTGAAATATAAAAATTCAGCCACTAGAAAAATCCAACAGTTTATTCATAAAACTAAACAGCTGTCCTTTCATGTATTGGCTAACATTTGACAAAAACCCACAGTAGGTGTATTTTCTGTGCCAGTGTTTCTTAAACTGTGCGGCTCCAACTTTTTATTGGAAAGCTGATGCAAAACCCTAGGGAAAATGGTTTCAGATGGAGAAGAAAAGGAATATATATGGTTTTGCTTACTGCTTGATAGAATGGAATCTCCAATAGTGAATATTTACTGGTAGTACTTGAAAGGTAACGCCTAATTTGCTCATCTGAAAGTGGAAATGAACAAGAAAAAAAATACAACAGGCTACCTTATCCACTTTAAATGTTTTAAAAATATAATTCCAAAATGCCCAATTCCCCCCTCCATTTCACCAGTGAAGGCTACATTCTCCCCTCCACCACATTTAAAATAAATTACATGGAGGGTACCTAAGTATATTTTTGTAAGAGGAGGAAGAATGCCTATGACAAAGTCTGAGAAACAATATACGCCAATCTAAATGTATCTGTTAAATGGTACAGTGTATACCTGTCATTCACCTGTACCAACTCCATCCAAACGGAATGATTAAGCCTTCCCCTCTCAGTTTCTATAACAGAAATCAAGACATGGTATTAGAACAGAATTGCCACACAGCTGCCGATTGATTCATATCTTACCATAGAGTGGTAGGGTATGAAGGGTTGTGTGTTCCGGGGTGAGTACCTTCTCACAACCCCTGCAAAAATATCTCTCATAGGAAAGTTAAAGACTTACCTGCTTTGAGTGCCTTTGGGTTGTTGGGAAAGGCTCTTCTCCACCTGAAGAAGGTGAATATTAGGAGTCTTTGGAACCACTATAAACAATGGCTCGGTGCCCTGAAAGCAAGTGAGACAGAGACCCCTTCCTAAGAGACCACCAACTTTCCTTTCTCATGTCCCTTCTCAAATCACCCTTCTTTGATTAGTCCTGTATGATACTTGTCTGTTATGTTTTACACTGTTTTGGACTCATTTGTGCCTTTAGATGATTATAATCTCTCTGCACAAGGACTCTGCTCTTTGTTGGACACACTGTGAAATCCTGACTCCATTGAAATCAATGGCAAAACTCCCATTGTCTTCAATGGGGCCTAGATTTCACCCATCATATCTATTTTACAGTAGCATGCACACTTACTCAGCTGTATAAATAACTGATAGGACAGAACTTGAACAGCCGCTATGTCAAAGACATCAGTTTTCATTTTGGTCAGTCCTGTGAAAAGGGCTCTATCATGCAGCTGAGGCCACAAATATAATACATGCCTTTAAATTACTAAAAATTGGATAGGAAATCAGTCTGATCCTAAATGTTTCTTTTAATTCTACAATCAGCTGCTTTGTCACCGAGAAAGTAAAAATACAAAACAGTAGTGACAGGGTCCGATCCTCCACTGCCATGAACATCATGTAGTTATTTACACCAGTGCAAAGTGGGTGTAAAGAACTATCGAATCAGATTTTGCTACACATCTACTAGTAGCATCTTATAATCACTTTGCATAGGTACAAAAACTACATAATGTTCAAGGCCTCAGAGAATAAAGTCCACAATATTTGGGGCAGCAGTTCTCAAACTGTGGGTTAGGACCCCAAAGTGGGGTGTGACCCCGTTTTAATGGGGTTGCCAGGGCTGGTGTTAGACTTGCGGCGCCCGGGGCAGCCTAAAGTTGAAGCCCGAGCCCCACTGCGGAGCTCAGGCTTTGGCCTTGAGTGGCGGGGCTCAGATTACAGGCCTCCTGCCCTGGACTGAAGCCCTTGGGCCCCCTGCCTTGGGTGGCAGGGCTTGGGCTTTGGCCCCCCTGCCAGGGCCGCCGGACTCGGGCGGGCTCAGGCTTCTGTCTCCCCTCCTGGGGTCCTGTAGTAATTTTTGTTGTCAGAAGGGGGTCGCGGTGCAATGAAGTTTGAGAACCCCTGATTTGGGGGATCTAAACGGAGAGAACAATATGGTAAACTCTGTTGTTAGATGTGCTTTGACAATTAAGTATGTTTAATAACAGAACTGTATCAACAAATACACAAACAAGAACCATGTTAACTTCAGCTCCAGCAGAAATGACTGTTCATGGAAAGTTTAATATTGGTGAAGTGAGATAAAATTGGGAGGTAAGCAAGTAGGGCTTGATTCTGTTCTCATTTACATTGATTTCACACCAGTGTAACACCATTAACTTCAATAGGGTTACTCCTGATTTACTCCAGAGTAAGTGAGCTCAGCATCACAGAGAATCAGTTCACAATGTTTTCCATGTTTATAGTTCTCAGTCATTAAGATAATGTTTTAAACAATGGTGAATGAAAGTAAATTAAACAGATGGTATTGTTCTTTTAACTTTGATAACAGAGCAATAACTTCTCTCATCTTCTCCAAAAATAATTGAGAGTTAGAACCTCCTGACAATTCTGATTGGATACATTACAAGTCATATAAGAATTTTTATGAGACCTCAAGAACAATAATGTGCTCCAGCTGAGTAGCGGGATAGCTATTTAATCAGTTTCTGCATATTCCCACTTTTTTGAGTGACCTAATATTAAAGTGTGATCTAGAATAATAGTGTACCTTTAACTAGATGTCAGAGAAAGCAAACTTGTAGATTCTGCAGAAATACAATTTAATGGCCAAGCCATACTCTTTGGCACTGTTTACAGTATTACAGTCAGTGTACTTTTTTTTACTTGTAGAGCAGTAGGCAAAAGATTGTCATCATCCACTTGATATTAAGTTATGTTTTAAACCCAAATAGTAAAATATGGGGCTGGAGCTAAGATAACTCATGGGTAACATTAAAAATTTTAAAAATAAATGACAGGGAAAGACACCAGATAGCACTGCAGACACGTTGTACAGTTGTAATACATACATACATGGCACACATTTGCAGAAATTTCTTCCTGTGTCAGCCACCTATTTATTAGAGATATTACATTCAGACAAATTGAACAGGAAAACCCTACAAATATGTAAATCCCTGCCACAGACACACACATTTTCCAAACATTATGTATACTCTAAAAAACTATATATTTTTTTCTGGGGTGGTGGTGGTGCACATTTCTGACATTTGCCTCTGGTTTGGATACTGAAGTTTATGGATTAGTTATACCATGTGATTTACCTATGCTGTAGATGCCAGCTCATCTGACTACACATGCTTTACTGCAAGCATTAAAAATGGTAATTTAGTAATACCCCTTTCTAAGAAATATGAAAATATTTTAATGCTAATTATTAGCAATGGATTATTGAAAAGACTAAAACATTTCCTTTAACCATTGAGTACATAGCCCTGTAATCTCATATACTTGAAAAACTATACTCCGCTACATCTTTTGTTCTTCAACATATATATTATTATACACTTCCTTAATGTGAAGAAAAGTGGTACATTTTAATTGTCACCTTTTTTCTGTCTTTAAAGGAATGAAACTGTAGAAGTGATTTGAATCGTCTTCACAAACTGGGCTAATCCGATTTCAAATCACCTTGGGTGGCAACAAATCCATGTTATGCTTTCCTTGTCCTATCTCCATCTTGCAATACACAGATTTGCTTTAAGGCAGTGCATTTGGTCTTTGCATTACTTGCGCCTTTCCCCTTCATGCTGCACTAACCTTGCATGTAGTCCCAAAACTATGCTTGCACTGATATGCATCTCCTTTTCCTTTTTGGCTCTGCTGTGCTTAGGAGAACAGAGCCTTAATTATGTTCTCAACGAGCATTATTTATTCCCTTGAACGTTAACCACTCCTTTTCATTTTTGTGGTCTTCTACGAGTTCAAAAAACTGACTTTAAAAACCAACCCAATTTTATAGGGTCTGATTCTCTTTGCAACTATGCTGGTAAATCATTAGTAATGACCAAAGTCAATGGTGTTCCACCCAGTGTAAGAGCCTGAGCCTTTGAGTTGCAGATTGCCATCAACTCTAAGGGAAGTCAGTGGGAGCTCAGCATCTTGCAGGACTGAGCCCTAAATTAAATAATTTATTAGGCCTACAACATTTCCTGACAGTATCCCACTGTGAAGTTGGGAACCAGAAAGCAGATACACGTATCTATCATTTTTCTTAAATTGGCATAATTTATAAATGAGAGGGCCAGTCACCCAATGGAAGAGAAAAGTCTGTCTTGCAGCTAAAGGAACTAAGGGAGGTTCTCTTGTGTATCTACCAGAAGGTGAGAATCCATAAGGTTGGTCAAGTGTCTTACTAGGGGAACTCATGGGGTTAATGTGTTTTATAGAGGTGGAAATGCACACAGCGAGTGAAGGTTTAATGGGACATGGTTAGAGCAATTCATAGGAGAACTTTGAATCGGTGAAGGGAAGTCCAAAGGAGTTGGGCATTTCAGTAAGGAGTGCACATAGAAATAAGCTGCTCATGAGGGAGTGACAGGGCCGGCTCTAGCTTTTTTGCCGCCCCAAGCAAAAAAAAACAAACCAAAACAAAAAACCCCGGCAGCCGCAGGGAGCGTGGTCAAGGCGGCTTGCAGGGGGGTGAAGGGCGGTGCCTCACAGCTGGGCGAGAGGGGCTCACCCCTCTGGCCTTGGGATGCCTCTCCCGGCCGGGCAGGCAGAGCCCCTAGGGGCTGCAGGAGGTGCTGGCTCAGCCGCTCCTTTAAAGGTGGCTCGGCTGGGCCGAGCTGAGAGCGGCGCGGGAGGCGGAGGCCGGTGCAGGCGGCGGGGAGTGGTGCATCCCGGGGAGCCTGGTGGCACAGTGAGCGGTGGGGATAGCTAGTTCCTGCCCCCCCGCGCCGGGGTCTGTGCCCCTGCAGGGCTGGGCTGGGACTGGCGGAGTGCAGGGAGCCGGCCGGGGGTTCCGGAGCTGCGGACCAGGCTGCCAACGCAAAAAAAAAAAAAAAAGCCCCGGGGGGGGGAGCGGGAATGTGCCGCCCCAAGATTGGCTGGAATGCCACCCCTTACAATGTGCCGCCCCAGGCACGTGCTTTCTCGTCTGGTGCCTGGAGCCGGTCCTGGGGAGTGAGTATGCGTGGTTGCGTCTGGGGGTGGAGTCTCAAGGGGAGCTGCAAGCATAAGGAGAAGTGCATGCATGGTGGGTGTATGGGGGGAAATGTACGCAAGAGATTTTTCTACTAAGACAAGAAGACATCTGGACTCTCCCCATCCCAGGGTGCTACTGTCTTTTAAGTGGAGAAAGGGAAGTCAGTAACCAATTATCTCCAACAAAGATTTGTGCTATAGCAAAGGCTGGTGGAACCTATGGTATCTTGTCTTGTTCTTATAATAAACAACAAAGAGACTTAATTCACTAACAGACATAACACATGACAAAACAGAACATAATATGGGCTTTGCCTGGGTGAATGCCTAATGTTCCAATGTCTTCCAAGGGCCTGGTCCTGCTTCTCTGACTCATGTGACTAATCCAGTTGAAGACCAGTGCTACTTATCTGAATAAGGGCAGCAGCATCAGGTTAGGCAATTTTGCTTTTTTTCCTATAGCTTAACCTTAAAAATTGACATGTAAATTTCATTTCCATTGGTTAGTATAGTGAACAAGTAGAACAAAGCACAATAAATATCAAAGCAAAATTAAAAAACAAAATAAATGGACCATAAAATTGTGGCTACTGCTTCTGTTTAGTGTGATGAATAATAATAATAAATAAGAATACAACAGAGAAGATAAATTATGCTACAAACATGGCAGTATCTTATTTGACTATATTTGTTATCAAGAAGACATGCAGTCCAGAAACTCATGGCATACACATTGGCAAAAGCCATAAACCATGAGAATAACAAGGCTCGAAGGAACAAGGCTGACAAAAACGACCCCCAGGGTGACTTTCTTAGATACCAGTAAGTAGATCCCTAAAGGCAAGGAACTAAAGTATAGCAAACCTAACAACCAAATGAGCACTCGAATTGAGGTCTGGAAGAGCAAGGATGTACAGTTCCACACTGTCCAGTTGTGGGATACAGTTGCAACAGAGTCAAAACTCGTGGGCCTGTAGAATTCCACCACCGGGGTGGAGTTCAGAGTCTGTGGGCTTTCTCTCTGCACTTCCATGATGGTTATAACCAGGCAGTTGGAGGAAGCATGAGAAGGGCTAACAAGAGATGCCAGCCTTTTGGGAGTTAGCAACAGTTCTGTAGGATTATCTGGTAGGCACTTCTTCCCCTTTCCCTCACAAGCCAAATTCACAAGGATGTTGTTGTCGTCAGGAAGACTACTAACCTCATCATCAGGCAGGCATGTCTCAAACCTACAGAATGGGCACACTATGACTCCCTGAGGAGAGTCCCCGAAGTCTATGATCTTGCAAAGGCATTTGGCACATACTCTGTGACAACACTCCAGCACTTTTGGTTTCCTCTGTCTCTGATTATAGCGGTTGTAACAGATCTTGCACTCAAGCTCATCTAAACCCTGGGACTCCACAGTATCCTCTGGTAGTTGACTGATCATTTCTTCTAATGGTTTGTAGACGTATGATGATGGGAGTAAAAAATAAATGCTTCACTAAGGATGTTACTAGGGCGCCTCTCAGATTATCACATCACCCATATCAGTCAGGAAAACATCATCACAAGTACCAGTAATCTTCATTCATTTTCAGCTTCTGTCAATGACTTTGTACTGTGTGTCCTTCACTCTGTGCCATGTATCCATGTAAACAAGACAATGTGGAGTTTCTGTAGAGGAAAGAGAGTCTAGCATTGTTAGCACTGAATTGACAACAAGTCTTTTACAGCTTTATCTTCCCAACAACATTTAAAAAGGTCTCTCAAAGCATTCTTAAAATAGTTTTTGTGTGTCAGACAGGGCATATACAGCAACCTTGCTGATTATAACATTTTATACCACTCCAGACATTTATGTCTCCTTAGTCTCGCGTGTAGCCCCATTGCCTCTCTAACCCCATTAAACCCTTATTGGATCCTCGTTCTGTTAGATTTGTTCACTTATCTAGGACCCTGTTTTTCATTTTTCTCTCTTTACAGCTTATACAGCTGTAAGCGCACCTCTTTTCCATTATGCCTCGAAGCCAAACTCACAGGGCAATGAGGCGTGGGCTTTTACTATCCAGTCAACAGTCCCCCTTAAAAATATATTTTGAGCCCAACCAGTACATCTCCCAAGTGCCCTGTCCCTTTTTTCCTGGTGCTTCTGACTTTCTATGCTGTGATGACTGGTTGTAGACCCCTAACTAGAGAGAAGGTTGTAGGAAGCTTGCATTGCTGCACCCCCTGTACTCGGTGGGGTTTCTGTCATCAGGACCTGCAGCTTGGGTTGTGCTGACATAAAGAAATAAGTCCTGCTATGTAACAGATATTGTGTGTATTATCCTGGCTTCGGGGCATGTTACAGATATTAAATACAAAACATTAACCAATGCTGCCTACATTGGGTAATAATAATTGTCAACCTCTTTAAACCAGTGCAATGTGCCAGAGGGCAAAAAAACTTCCCATAATATTACCCCAAATTCATTCACATTCTTGGCCAAAAAACTAAGTTTCACAACATGTTTTGAAGACCACAGCAAATTCATGCTCTGGCAGAGTACCAGAGACAGTGTGTACACAGCTAGCTACTTGCCACTAGGAACACCCTGTCCTAATACTCTGATCCAGCTGAGCTGTGCTTGCAGAGGTGGATTAAAATTTCCCAGGGCCCTGGGCCAGAGCAAATGGGTGGGCCCTCCCCCCACTTCTGCCTATGGCCCCGCCCACAGCCCCACCCCTTTCTGCCCCTTCCCTGGGATCTGCCCCTGTTCCACCCACGGTCCCCCCATTCCACCTGCCCCACAACCTGTTTGCTCCTTTCTGTACCCCCTCCCCCGCCACTGCGGCCCCAAGACCAGAGAAGCTCTGGGGCCATAGCAGGGAATGAGAACTTCTGCAGGGGACCAGGATCGGGGCTCTGGGGCTTCTCCTGCCCTGCCTGCCAGGTGCTTGTGCCAGAGAGCAGGATCGGGCATGGGGAGTGCCCCTGCTGCCCTGTGGCTTTTGCCAGGGACAGGGTCGGGGCACTCGGGGCTTCCTCTGCCAGGGATGGGGTTGGGGGCCACTGCGGGGGCTTTCCCCACCCAGGAGCTTTTGCCAGGGAGAGGGTTGGAAGGTGCAGGGGGGGCTTCCCCCGTCCCGCAGCTTTTGCCAGGGTCGGGGGCCAGGGGGGGGGGGTTCCCCTGTTCCACAGCTTCTGCTGGGGCCACAGGGGGAGCTTCCTCCATCCCATGGCTTCTGCCAGGGTCAGGGGTTACTGGCTGTCGAGAGAAGTCTTTTGGGTATTACTGTGTAGTCCTAATCAAAACTTAGCTCTCTACATATTTTTGTTTTCTGGCCCTGATGAGCGTCTCCAGGCTTCACCACAGCCTAAGTCCTTGTATTTGTATTTGTCTATTAATCTTTAAACTTTATTTTCTTGACCATTAGTTTTGGCAAGGTCTTGATTTTTTTCCTCTCGGGAAATTTATATCTTCATCTTACATTGAGGCAGAATAGTCTCTCTTTTTAGATTCTTCTGTCAATTAATTGTCATCCTCTCAGGCGACCAAACATCTCCTTTATGGATCTCTTATTCCTAATGTACTTGTATTTTGTATTATTTGTCTTAACTTCCTGTTCAGATTGGGTTCTATTCTCCACTTCTAGGTTTTTAAAATTTACTTTCCAATTGTTTACACAAGATACAACACTTTGTTTTCCATTGCTGTTTCGTTCAATGAAATAGAACAAATATAAAATAATAAACTCCTGTGAGAATTTATAACATACAGACCCCATCATTCATTTTCTTAACTTATTTCTACATCTTCTCACTTCATTTGCTAATCTTTCCAAACATCCTCCACATCTTATTGATAAGTTAATTATTATTTGTATTGTGTTAGCAATTGGAGGCATTATGCTAGGCACTGTAAACACATAACACAAACAGCTGGTCCCTACTGCACAGAACTTAAAATCTAAGTATACCAGGAGACACAAGAGGTGGATATTTTGCACCTCTATCCCAATATAAAGCGACCCAATATAACACGAATACAGATATAACACGGTAAAGCAGTGCTCTGGGGGGGGGGGAGCTGCGCACTCTGGCGGATCAAAGCAAGTTCGATATAACGCGGTTTCACCTATAACGCGGTAAGATTTTTTGGCTCCCGAGGACAGCATTATATCGGGGTAGAGGTGTATATCTCACATGACCCGTGGTTACTTTTTGCACATCTTTATTCATTCACACTAGTCTTTTTATTTTACTCCTAGTATCTCTAGATGACCTTTAGTCATACATAAATGCCACGAGATACTAATCCATCAGGAATTTGGGAAACCTACAAAATGAGCACAGTAAGATGAAATGCTGCCCTTCAGGGATCCTAAGTCCCCCAGAAAAGGCTTAAAAAAACCTAAAAAATTCTGGGCCTTGGATTTATAAAACCTGAGTCTCATCTGGTTTTTTGTGCTGGATGTGAGATAGGGCAGTGAATTCATCAATTCACAATTAGGGTTGGTCAAAAATTCTGTCAAAACTGTTTTTTGACAGAAAATTGGGAATTTGAGAAACCAAATTTTTTCCACAAAGAGTCTGCTTGCCGCGGAAAATTTCAACTTCTTGTTAAAAACCCTCAAACCCCAAATTTTCAGATTTGAACCAAAAATGAAAGTCAAACATTTCTGCAGCAAACAAACCCATTTTCCAACCAACTCTATTCATAATTTTAATCACATTTGCTTGCATACCATAAACATGTATTGTATGCTAAAAAAAGTATTTCTGTGTAGCAAAAAATACAGTATTTTGCTCAATTCTATTCTCTTTATTTGGCCAGATTCAGCACTACTATAAGACATCAAAATTCCACTGAAGTTACAAAAGTAGTAGATTTGGCTCATTATTTCAGATTCCCTGAACCCCTTCTTCTGGCCTTCAAGTAACCCCCCCAACCTCTCCAGGCTCATCATCACAAGCAAGCGCCACACAGACCAGAACACACCAACTCAAAGCGGCACCACGCCCTGCCAGAACAACAGATGCAAAACCTGCAGCTGTATCTCCATGGCTATGGTGATCAATACCCCCACAACACGCCTTTCAAGATTCCTGGGTCCAACAACTGCCTATCACAACATGTGGTGTACCTCATCCAGTGCACTAAATGCCCCAATGACAACAGTGGGTGAAACCAGACAGACAATCACTATGCTCTCGAATGAGCTCACACAGCAAAATGATAAAAAAAAAAAAAGACAAAAACACACTATCACCTGTATGTGAACACTTTTCACAAAACGATCACTCTGTATCTGACCTCTCAGTCCTCATCATCAACAGAAGCAGGCACAACGCTTTCAAAAGATGAGCCTGGGAACTTAAATTCATAACTTTGCTAGACACTAAAAATCATGGTCTTAGAGACACGGGATTTATGGCTTTTTACAACAATCTGTAACCTACTAACCTCCCTTTTTGTACTATGACTACAGGGATGTTAACAGGCTACCTCACCCTGATTGGTCCCTTTGCATATGTACAAACTACTTATGCTAAACTATCTGTTCGACCTTGTATTTAGCTGTGACGCTGGGAGTACCTTTCCCAGAAGAGCTCTGTGTAGCTCGAAAAACTTGTCTCTTGCGCCAACAGAAGTTGGGCCAATAAAAGGTATTACCTCACCCACCTTATCTCTCTAATATCCTGGGACTGACTTGGCTACAACACTGCATACAAAAAAGAACAGAGGCAGCCAGGAAGCTGGAGGTTGGGTATGTGTAGCAGCACAGATTCCTGTGCTTATGGGAACTCGAGTCCAGGGCCACACACAAGCACGGCTAAAGAGAGGTTAGAAATCAGTGTTAGTCATGCAAGAAGTTCCCTCTGTATCACAGTTCAGGCATGGTGACAGGGCACTGTTTGTGGGATGCTTGCCCCACGGCTGCTGTGTAGATAAACACAGGACTCCATTCGTCAGGGCTATCCAGCCAGTGCTTTTTACTAGCACTACATTCACACAAATTTGTGTGTGCGTGGAAGTTTATGGTTATAGGTACACTATAGGCAAATATTCATATTAGCTCAGTCATTAATTTGCATAAAATGTTACCTGGAGCTGTGAAAAACTTGGTAGTTATGAAAAAAGTACTGAGAGAATAACTGGCCAAGGAGCAGGGGAAATGGGTGCTAGTTGTCTGTGTGGGGCCCATTTAAGGGAGTTTTACTCCCCTTACTTGAGCTTGCTTGCTTAATGTAGACTTTTGTAGAGGGTTGCAGACTGACAGTGTTCATTTGAAAACTGCTCTGCTGCTGCACCCATTTGCTTGGTGGGGGAGGGGTGTTGCTGGCTTGCAAGGGAAGCATGATGGTGATCCTGAAGGGGAAGCAGGGTGATGCCAGGTGCTTAAACTATCTGGTTGAATCTCTTTCTGTGTCTCCAAGAGGTTATGCAACAAAGTGGGAGGCAGCCAAGTTGCTAGCTGCAGGAGCAGGTGCCCTGATGTTTCCCTGTGGGCTGGTAACCACCAGAGAAACCTCTGGTGCTTAGGAATATGCCACAAGTGCTGCTGCACTCCACTGAACATGGAACAAATCATTTTTTGGGCCTACAAGTGGGAACAGGAGCCCTTTCCTATTCCTGATGGAGCTGCTCCACCTCAGCAAGTACTGATAAGGTTAGGGATCTATTGCTACGTTAGCAGAGATCCCCCAGCCTTTCCCAAAGAGTTTCCTTGAAGATCCTCTTTCTTCCAACTGGAAGTCAAACTGGAGGGAGCAGGAGAAAATTTACAGGGGAAATAAAAATAAACGTAATTCCCAGGGGAAAGAATCTCTTACAAAAGCTCACTTGCAAGGAGCAGAGGAAACATCTGCTCTCTTCCATGGGGTCAGGGCAAAGTGTTTCAGCAAATATGCCAGCAGGAGGAGCTTTGAGTTAAAAAAAAAAGGAACTGGCATCATCTCACTAGTTCGGATGGAAATACCCTGATATAACTGTAGTCCAGAGCAGGGCATCCATATTAGAGGAATCCTATTTACAAGAAGTATTTAGACTTCACTACAAAGGCCACACTTTGTCTTTAAAGCTCTGTAGCTGATTTTTTAACTATATACCATCCACACCTATATTATAAATCAACAGCTCCTCCAACAAAAGCTCTTTACAAATGACAACAACCCAGTCCCAAATTACAAAGATGAAACAGCCAGAGGCACATTGCCCTTCAAAAGAAGAGACTTTTTAAAGCTATCAAAATACTTTCCTTCAGAAATCTCACAGAAGCTTTGATCACGTCTAGCTTTCCCAACAAATTGCAACCTCTTCTTCGGCATTGATTGAAAACCATATCTCCTGTAGACCAGTGCATTCATATTCAACCACTTCCAACTATATACTGTCTCAGCAGCCCATATCACTGGATTTTTCCAGCTTGTGCTATGCAGTCTGCTAAAATAAAAAAACTGCTTTACTATTGCTGACATTTGTATACACGACATTCAAAGCTCTGGCAGCTATAGTGTGTTCAACCTGTTTCATGCCACATTTCTGCTCGCATTGGACAGTTTTTAACAATGAGCATTTGCCTGTCAGCTCTAATCAATGTGTCACTTTGCATTAGTTACAGGATGTGGGATATCGATCTGTTCTTGGTTTATAGTCAACTGTGTAACTACATTGAAAAGTGCCTTAGTGCATTCTTTGCATGATGAAATGATACTTACTGGGCGAGGGAGAGAAGTGTAGTTTTTTTAATAAGGCTTTCAAAGAAAACCCAAGAAATACTGTGCATGGAAGAGAAAATTTGCAACATGTGCAGCTTAAAGATTTTATTAATATTTTATAAATAGTTAATAACACATACAATAAATCTGAGTCAGGGTCTGCTTTTTACCAGAGGTTAGAAGAGCACTTAGCACAGTGGGGGCTCTAAGTATTGCTGTGATACAAACAACACTAGAATACAAAATATAGAAAATTGACATTTGGGTACAGGTGCATGAAGCAAGTGAATAGCATATACAATTGTGTTATAGTTACAAAAAGTATAAATACATGTGTTAAACTGTCACAAACCATATGTAATTCTTCCTTGTACCAATAGTCTAGGTGAGATTTTTAGGATCCTCTTCTCCTTACTAATGCACGTGTAACTTAGAGTATATTTATTTTTCTGAATGGGTGAGTGAGTACCTTGGCCTTTGAAAGTTTATAATATGCAGTAATATAAAGGGTTTAAGGTATTGTGTGGTTTAAGGGATAACAATGTAATCAATGGGTAACACTGTTTTTCCGATTCCGTTGGTAAAGGTTCCTTGTGTAGGCAGGGCAGACATTACTTACCTTGTTTTGTATCTAATAAAGAGTGATCGTTACCTACTACAGTACTGTACTTTGGTTCGGCATGTACTTTCCACCACATTTTTGCCTATACATGTGCAGAGATCACCAGACTCCACTACATGTAACCTAGTGTAATTTGCATTACTTCTTAATTATTCTGATACTAAAACTATGTGCCGAATAGCAAGTGAAAGTGACAGAAATAGCTGAGGATGTTTATTGAAAACACAATACCCTGCACAACTTCCCTTTAGCTCTAGACAGAGGCTAAGACAATGCAGATACAAATCTTGCAACTGACTATGACGTAGACTGCTCCATCAATGAGGCACATAGAAACCAGCTTTTCCAGAGAAAGATTTTATTTCTCATATATAATTATTAAATCATTTACACAGCAATATGCTAGTGGAATATTTTTATCCAAAATAAAGCTGTGCTTTAATTTTATTTTTAGAATAAAACCAATAAAACACAAAGGGCCAGATCCCGCAGAAGGTGTATATTGATTTTAGTGGATTAATGCTAATTTACACAATTTAAAGATCTGGCCCCAAATTTGTATTTAAAATGGTAACAAAATTAGTTTTGTTAAAAAAATTATTCAACAATTATTTCTTTTTTTAAAAGACCACTTTTAATTAATTCATTTCCTGTTTACGTGGGCTTCCACTTTTTTCTGTATTGGACAAACCGTTTGGTTACTTTTTCCTGCAATACTTTTTCACTGCAAATGGCTTTCCCTTTATGACCCTGAAATCAAAAGAAATGATCCATTATAATATGAATAAATACTGCATAATAGAAATCATATCTTTAAAAACACAATCATTATGCTATACAGAGAGATAAGACAATTACTTCAAAGAGCAGGCTCAAAGATTTACCACTCTCTTCTCTGGTAATATTTTTTCCACTGGCTTGCTCAATTAGGTAGATAATCTAGGGACCCGTTTTCCTTCTCCAGATTTTTTGCCCTTCAGAAGCTCTGAGAATTACTGTGCTGTCTGTAAGACATTGATTCTAGATGATGAATTGAAAAGATATACAATGATAAATAAAAAAGCTTTCCAACATTTTATTATGTTCATTAATGTTTAATTATGTGATCTGCAGATATGTAAACCATTTATCTTTATGCTCAGCATTAATAAAAAGCCATGTTATTATACTGGGTTTCAGAATGCCTGCCAATTAAAGATGATAACATTGTGGAAGTTTGCCAGGTAGTTTGCTTGACACAATTCATTTGAATGTAACACATTAAAGTGAGTTAAGAAGCACGGGCACAGAAGCTTTTTGGGTTTGGGTTGGGTTTTTTTTTTTTCAAGATTTATTGTCGTACTGGAAAGTATTGGTTAATGTATACAAAATTACACATCACTAAAATACTACAGAATTGTTTCCCTTAGGACATATTTTGTACTTTCTATCATTTGGGAGGAACCTTTGAGTGTGGGAACAGATGCGAACAAATTACAGTTACTCAGTCATGATTTCTTCAGTCAGGTGAAATTACCATCTGCGTCAAGGGAACAAAAAAGGCCTATGTACTGTAAATCCCACTTAAACCTTCAAAATAGAGTTTAAATAGAAATTAAGCAGTGCATGGGCCTTGCGTAGGTATTCTGGTCTGGGGCTATAAATAATTCCAGCATGGAGTGCAAGAGAAGGTGTAATTCTTCCTTCTATTATTGCTATTACAACAGCTTCCCTAACACTGCAATGTTTTACTTGGTACACCTTGCTAATTAGCCACTGAACATCTCTATGTGGAAAAGAGACGGTTCTGAAGCAACCCCCTAGATCCGGAAACCCTGAAATTTCAGGAAATTCAGATCTGGTTCTAGATTCGAACTCCATAGTCTGTGCCTGTCTCTAATATGTAAATCAGTGATGGGTGCAAATCAGAAAGTTTGGATATTTGGATGTTTATCTCTAGCTCTCTGAATTGTGATTCAGTCTGTGCACATGAAGTGAAATCTCGATCCCAATAAAGTCAATGAGAGTTCTGCCACTGACTTCAATTGACACAGGATTTCACCCAAGAGATTTCCAATCCTCTTGTAAAACTTCCAGTACTCGCTGG